TAATGATATCTTATACAGTGAATAAAACTATTTTTATTTTTTTAATAATCTTTTACAAATTTGAAACAAATAGAATTATTGAATTAAGTTTATCTGCAAGACTAATACTATCGTAACGCATATTATTTAGTTAAGAATTAAGGTTTATCTTACGAAATTTTGAAATGCACTCATGTAACTGCATTACAGTATTTAGTATAAACTATAAATCTATATCTAGGAAAAACACATAAAGAAAGTAAGCTAATATTCGTAAACCAAAATTTTATATTAATTATCCAAGTGATTGGATTTAAGAAACTTAAGATTATTTAAAGAAAAGTTAGTTTATCACTCTAATGGATTTTCAGAATTACAGGTGAATAGTCTTTTCCATATTAACATTAGATTAATGTATTTTAACGGTTGTGAAAATGTCTTAATTGCGTGTGAGATAAAGTTTAATATTCCTTTTCTCTCCTTCTATCGAATAAAAACGATATAATAACTTATAACTAATCCCAACAGCCTATAAAGATTTTGTACTGATACAACATCAACGAAATCAACACAGCTGTGTGTATAATATGAATTCATTAAAATAAACAAAAATGTATTCTTATCAACTATTTCCAGATGCTAAATTTAAACGTGTAACAAGACATCCACATAAAATATGTAATTTTAATCTATGCATGGAATTCACTAAATCGTGTCCAAGTTTTAAATTTGATTATCCTACAAGACTCTATTAAATCTATTTTAACTTTTTAGTAAAGATTAATTTTTTAATATTTATCAGGTCAAATTGGCAATAAATTAAAATAAGAACAATGTTTTTGTTAGATGTTTAAAATTCTTTTTACAACTTTAAATAATTTTTCTAGTGTTTCCTAATAATTAAATACACATTATATATATATATATATATTAATATTATGGATTATAGTAAAAAACTTAAAAATATTTTAAGCGTTTATAGTTTACATTGTTAAGCCTTTAACGCATATTAAATAAAAGAAAAATTTACCTTAATTTTGTTTTATAATGCTTTATTAAATGATAGTATTGTAAAAATGAGTGGCTTATATAAAGTCAAGTGTTAAATATATTGCATAAGAAATAAGTTTAAAGAGTAAAAACTTGTCACAAAGATGGATTATCAGTCATTCAATTCATGTATATTCAGTCTACGTTACTGATACGGTACCTATATTGTATCGATTGTTCTCGTGGGGGTTTCGAAAGGACGTGCATTTTATTTTGTCCGTATATATTGCTTTCTTAGGGTAGGGCGTAGGCGTTTGTCATATATAGAGAGACATGGGACATAGTTTACGAAATGCCTTAAAGGCGTGCCGGACTTATGAATGAAAACTAGAATTTAGAAACATATGGATAACCTACGACTGGGTTTACACTAAAAAATGATTATATCCAAATCTTCATACCAACAGTTTTTAAAGACAAACCGTATTTTATTTTTTGGTTTTTTTTTCGTAAGACTGTAAAAAAAAAAACAATTTTAAAGTCTCAATAACGTATGATAACGATTTTACATTGAATAAAAATAATTTACCATTATATTTAGTTTTACAAATAAATTACAGTGTATTAACAGTTAAATTGATTTTCTATATATACAAAAACCTAGTAATATAAGACAACAGTTAGACAATGAAACATTTTATATGCACGTAAAGTGTTTGTAAAATATGAATTGAATTATTATGTTTTATTATTTAATAAAACAACATTTATTTAATACCTAGTATTATGCTAAGAAATACATTAGATGATTTAAACTACCAACAAAATATTTGAATATTATAAAATGAATATTTTATTTTATTATGGTTTTAATCTGCACAATGTTATTAAAAGCTAAAAATTTTTTTTATTTTTTTTTTTTTTTTTTGTACTTGAATCGATAAAACAAAATACTAAACTTAAAAAATATTAATACCCACCTAAACTATTATGGTTTATCGTTTCTAAAAATATTTAACAGCTACATTTACTAATAAATAACTTATGGTAGTTAAAATTAAAAATATGTATTGGCATATTTACTAACTGTTCTACTTTTATTATGTATGGTATAATCATATAATTATGCGCGTTTTAAAATAATTTAATGGGTACCTCATTGTACCTCGGTTTGACCTATTTATAAAGTGTAATTTTAATGCATTTTTCCAGCTGTTAGACTATTAGAGAAATATAAACATATATGTTATTCTAACCGGTGTCTTGTGTATGTTTTTTCCTTGTGATTCTTTACGGTTTAATACGAGTAATCTGGAAAGTAAACGCATGAATAGAGAGTATCATACGCGAAAAATTAATGGTTCTTACTAATATCGTTAACAGCACAATGAACATAAAAGCATTCAGTGTAAACTGTTTAACAGATAAACGTTGAAGATTAAGTCGTGAAGAATTGAGAACGTATAGGGTTGGTAGCAAAAGAAAATTTCTCTGGAAAAAAATAACCGAAAGAATGGTAAGAATTCGATATAATATCCAATCACAATAATAATATGCTAACACGCTTTTTACATTAATTTTGTACATTGTAAATAACATAAGTGAAGTCTCTGTATGTAAATAATTGTAATATAATTTACAGCTAACAAAATATAAAATGAAAACCACTATCAAGTAACTTTAGTTGGCCATATAGTTGGTAAATAAATTATAAATGATTAAAATTTAAAAACAATATAAAACAAACATTTTCATATTACGTTTTTATAGCATAAAATGTACAATATTATGACAATTTAGATTAGTCCCATACAATCAGCAATAATCAGCAAAATTAAATTAACTTAATTACCATCGAATTCCGAATCGTTATTCGTGAACAAGATTATTATCATGTGTTAATGTTTTATTAATAAGTATAATTATGTGATACAATTCCATTAAAATATAATTATTAAAATTTAATCTGTAAGATCTTTAAATAGGTAGTGTGATTATAATAAATCTATAGATTTATTAAATACTATAGCAAAAAATATCTGATCCATAAATATAATAAAGCTTACTTCTTAAATCTAGAGAACAGTTTCGAGAGAGCTTTTCGTATATTGTATGTATATATTTTTTTACTTCTATAAAATCACGTCTATAGAAAAGTTCTGGGACTCATCTTTCAAGTGTTACAGTCAAACTTAAAAAAAAATTTACGTTTTTATCGATGCCTTGGGAATTTTTATGACAACCAGCAACCCGAGTCAAACTTAACGTCGAATTACTTTGAAACTTTGTTAGTGGTTGTTTTCAAAAATTGTAAAATATAATACTATAAAATTATTCTTACAATTTATCATTTCAAATTATAAGGTAATATGAATACAAATAAAAGTGAAAATGTTAACGTTTTTACAATATTCTACAGATATTTATTTAGTTATCATTTCATATTTTTAATTATAATCTTAAAATTATCATAATGAAAATTAATTTAAATTTACATAGTTAATATAACTAGATATTTTAATAATTAAATATATTTCATTTATGTATAGTTTTAATATAATTAATTAAAACAACAACAAATACACTGCACCATTATTTTATCACATATGTACCTATCACTTTCATACAAGGTTTTTTTTTTTATTTTAAATTTTAATTTAGTTCAAAATCCTCTACGTGACATTATTTATTTTGTGGTATGAGCTATTAAGAAAACGTTACAAGTACAAATTAAACTGTAAAAAAAAAAAATAAATTTTTATATGGTATAATATAGTTACATAATTATAATAATAATGAAACTATATGTCTTAATAGACATAGTTTTGAAAATTTAAATCAAATAATCTTCTAAAAATGGTAAAATTATTATTTTCATGCGAATACATAAAACTCTATTAACACTGGTTATCTAGCAAATTACTATTGAGCGTTGCGTAAGGAATACGAATAAGAACGTATGCCATCTGTAAGTCAATCAATAAGGTATAATAATACTATTTATAACAGAGAACAATCTAATTTCTAAGCCATAATATAATACACGTCATAAAATATATTTCTGTAAAACAAATACCAATACAGGCTATATTTTAGTGTCCATTTAATTAAAACATGATTTAAAAACATTGCTTTTATAATATAGGTATTAGGTATATATATTTCAGAACAAACATGATTTCACTTAATTAAGTTTATTTTGATAAAGTTAAAACAATCCTTGTTTGTTTAATTCCAGGAATCAGAACATAATAATATACTCTGGGGAATTAGAAAGATTACTCTTGTATAAAAATAACTGAATGTATATAATTGATATTAATATTTTTTGTAATTTGGAGATTATAAAGGTACAAAGTACAGAGGTTTTAATTACCGAACATAAAAAAATATTGTCTGGGTTATTCGAAATAAATTAGCTATTTATAAGTTTAAAAAAAAATGATCAGGATTACCTAAATTAATTTAGAATGTATACAGTATTAACAATTTAACTTTGTTAATCATATTCAATTAGTAAAGGTAAATTCAAACTTTTTGCTCAACAGATACCTCACTAGCACAACACTTTTATTGACAATTTCAAAATTAATTTGAAGTAATAAAAGTGTTTAATAATATTTTACGGGTGTCTACTCAAGTTAAGGATAAACTTTCTTCTAATTTATCTCATCTTACACAAATTGTATAATACAATCGGAGTAATTTTATTTGATTTTATATTTAATATTCGCTTTAAAATGATAATATTTTATTTATCGTCAACAAATAATTAATTTAAAAAAAAAGTTAATGAGTGAATAAAATATAAAACTGTAGAATAATTTCTTAAATAAAATTTTTTATAACACTATAATATTGTTAAATATTTATTTTGGCGATATTATTGAATAAGTACCTACTTAGTGTTTAAAAATATGATTGTATATTTTGTTTTGTATACCGCTTTTAAATATTTGATAATAATAAATCACCATTTTCAATAGGTCAAATATACTGATAAGACTGGTAATTTACAAAAGTAATATTACCTGGATGGTACAATCTTTTCAATAGTTGTTGAACTGTTTTTGACATTGCTGTTGGAATTATCATTGGCATTTTTTGAGCTGGACGTTTCAGACGTAATGGGCGTTCCTGGTTTTATATTATCCGTTCTCATTCCCGTACTGTCGACCATCATTTGTCTGACGTTAAACTATAACAGAAATAAAAAAAATATATATGAGATATAAAAGATCATATTTTAAAATAATAGTCGATAAGAGAATAGATCCAACTCATCGCTTTTTCGTACACTGAATATATTTTACAAGCGATTATAATATGTATATAATATATATATATAAGAATATTATAGTGTCAAACATCTAACCATAACTCAGTAATTATACTTATACCAATATTAATAATAGTATATGTATATGTTACGGGCAATGTGAAATTGTGAGCGACTATTTTTTTTTTTTTTTTAACAAACTAATATTATTTTTATTTTTATTATAAATTAAATTTTATTATTACCTATTTATAGTATTGATTTTTTTTTACGAAATAATAATTATTAATTTTATTCATGTTACATCATTCATATTACGAATATGTTGATGGAATAACAAAAAAATTAACAATCATTTTATTTTTATTATAAATTATAATTGTATTACTACCTATTTATTTGCACAAGATTTAGAAACATGACAATTAGAATTGCATAATCTGTCTGCTTCTACACTTGCATTTATTCGTTTTGCAACCCTGAGTACAAGTACACCAATCATATCTCTGTCCTCCCAAATAAGTATAGGAGTGGGCTGCTTTTTCTAATGAAATAGAATTAGCCGATACGTCTTCGTCTTTCATTATGAGAAGCAGCCCGCTCCTTTTCTAATTTTCTCATAAATATTATTATATATTTACATTGCAATTAAAAATAATGCCACGAAACTTAAGATGTGAAATTTTAATTCGGTATTGTGTAAAACGTTTGGACTACGTATCGCTTTAGTTACTATTGTAACTAAAGATATAACTTTGCTATAGAAATTTTTCTATTTCTACTTCAATTATTAATATTTTTTCAATATTTCTGTTTTATTTATTAGAATTAGATGGTTATTAATTAAATAAGATTTTTCAAAATGTAATTATTAACATTTCAATTTCTAATATAATGGTTATGATTTAGAAAACTTAAAATTAATTTTAATAAATAATATCAATAGTTATAAATTTTATATCAATTAGTACATAAGTATCAAAAAAAAAAAAAAAACAATCCTGTTTGTATTTTAAAATCTCAAAATTTAAATATTATAAATACAATGATTTTTTTTTTTTTTTATTGAACTTAAACCTGGCTACTTAGGCTATTAGCTATTGTAGGGGTTATGAACTGTGGTAGGAGTAATGTTAGTACAGTTGGCTGTTTTTATGATTATGATGGTTGTTACGATTAATAATAAACACGACAAACACGTGTATGTGTGGAGAGATTTTTAACCATTATAAACCCGGGTGGTCACCCATCCAGGAACTAGTTGATGTAGCCGTTATTCCCAGTCACATTCCGCGACTAGTAAGTGGTAGCTGCCAACGCACCACACCAAGCCACTTAGCCACGTATAATGATTTTTAATGAAAATAAACTGTTTCATCAAAATAATATATTTTTAGTAAATAGTTTATAATTAGTAATTATGATTTAAAAGTTTAAATAAATATTATAGGTATACATAGTAGTTAATTTATAAATAAACACATAATTACATGATTTTCATATTATTCAGTAGAAAATGTTATAATATAATTTTTAGATATTTATAAGCGATATTTTAAGGATTTTTTTACATCTTGACTGAGATTATGAAACTTGATTAATTAAAAAAGGACTTCTTCGTCTATAATTCAAAAATTATCTCTTAAACTTTTAAAATAATACGTCATTTAAATTTAAAAAAATTTTCCGTGTTAACATATATTTTGTTAATTTAAATAAAGTTGGTGAAATACGCATTAAAAAGTTAAAGAAAATTAGCCTTTTAATGTTTATAGAACTTGAATAATTATATGATTTGACTTTAAAAATAAATTAAAATATACGCGATCAATTAAATTATATTCCAATATGATTCAATCGAAGAAAATTATTATTTAATTAATTATACACAAAGAGTAATGAACTTCATAAATTATAAAATATCACTATAGTTATTATTGACTAATAATTAAACTTTTTTTGTCATGTAATCTAAATATATAACTTTCTTATCAAACAATGTTTTACGAAAAACATATACAATAGTAATTCCATCAACACAACAAATGTTTGTATGTACTATTAAAAAAGCAAGTATTATCAATAAAATATGCACGCATATCCGTGAAATTTTATTTAAGTAATATTGGAACTATGATAGTGGAACTATCACAGTGGAAGTTTAAGAAATGAAGGTCGTTTATCGAGTAAACAGCTGTTTCGTAATTTTAGCACCTTTTCGAAACTTGGGAAATTCCAACTTCAAGCTATTAATAGATGATTGGTATTTCAAAGTACTTATGAAGTACAATTGAACTTAAAAGCTGGCGATAAGTTGAGGACTAGAAAAAATGTTTTAAACTACCTATCCATTAAAAAACACCTGAATTATTGTATGTCATTTTAACAGTTAATTTTTGAAATTTTATTGGTAGAAATCTGTGAACTATTGGAAATGATTTTCATTTTATTTTATTTTAAGTGGACGCCAAACTAAAATTGATTGCAACCACATAAATAGCCGACCAATAGAAACGTTTCGAACAAATAATGGTTTACACGTGCGTTTTCACTCTCCGGGGAGTTGGAATTCGGCATTTACAAACATTGCATGATGTTGACATAGCATCATTTTTTTTTTATTCTTTTGGTTTATCGCATTGCAGTTATATTTTTAACTACCGATTGCATATAAGATAGATCCCTTAAGAATATTAAAATCGACAAAACCCTAACACGTCGCATAGCTGACGTGTACAAGAACATCTCTTATAGACACGTCTCAAGTACTTTGTAACGAGCATTCAATACGCAATAGGGTCGCCTACGTTTTGATTATGGACTACTGCATAACTATAATAAAGCAGTTATAAAATCATAAACTAGCATGTATATAAGGTAACTATTTTAACAGTCAACACTCATTATCTAAAAAAGTATTTACATTAGTTTTATTTTCTACTAATTTTTATTGTAATCATATTTTTAAATTTTATATTTTTTAAATGACAACTCGAATTTTCAATTTTAAATCGAAAAACAGAATGCTTTTCTCAGTATTTTAAATTTTAACATAAAATTTGAATTTTAAACAAGTATTTAATTAGTGTTATGTATTTAAACTTTAAAGTTTAAATTATGAAGTGGGATTTGAGTTGATTCACTAATTCTGCAAGCTTAAATTTAACTAAATGTAATTCATTAACAAAATTATCCTAATTTTATTTTATAGATGAAAATTTAAAAAAAATATTCTATTTTAGAATATGAAATTTAAAATGTATATAGTCATCAAAAAAAGTAAAAAAAAAAAAAAAAATGAAATTTGTGTTGTTCTTAAACAAAACAAAATAGAATAGGTATAAAAACTTTCTTTTTTTTTAAAAGTTAATAATATTATTATACTCGTATATGTATACAGAGTAATTCACCAAACATGCGCATCCTCATTTTTTCACTAATAATAAACTTATTCAAATTCTGATTTTTGAATTAGTTAATTATACTTAAGGACTATATTTTCGAACATTTTTTTTATAAAATTTAAGGAGCATCCTGTGATGTCATGAATAGTTTTTAAAATATGAACGAAGCAATTAATTTATTGGTTTTACAAAGACGTGTATCTTTTATATAGAAGAAAAGATGCTACGATTTTCAAATTTGAGGAAGATTACTAGAGACAAATTGTATCTAGTTTGTACTTAAGTTCAAAAGTGGAAATATTTAATACTTTATAAAATAATTTGGAAAATAAAAAAAATGAAAATATTTAAGCAAAAAATAATGTTTCGTAAAATAATTTTGTTTTAATTTAAAAACAAATAAACTTAGATTCCTGAAATTTTTGGCAAAAATATTTTATACTAGGATTTTCTAAACATAAGATTTTAAAATATTTTAAATTTCCTTAAATATTTTATAATCTTATATACGCTTGTATGTGGTAAAGCTGAAAAATTTAAAAAGATTCCTTACAAGTTTTTCAAACAAAAATTAAAAAGTATTAAACATTTATAATCACATTATTTTAATTACAAACTAAATGAATATTTAATTTTAAAAATGTAAAAAAATTTTTCTCATGCATTCCCTTTAGAGGAATTCAAATACAAATTAACGTTAAGCGTATTAATTTATTGTGAGAGTTCAAATTTCAAATTTTTAAATCACAAGTTACTTTTATGTATATATTACACACAGGTTGTGTCTGTTTAAAATAAAATTTTCATCGTGTACAATGTTTAATTGTTGAATTAAAATTTAACATACATATTGCAGTAACACTAACTAAAGTTATCAATAACTAAGAATACCTGGCAACTACAGTAAAGTGATTTTTTTTTCAAATAAGAACCAACCATTTTTACTGTACATTGCTAAGCAGATAATGTTAATTAGACTAAATTAGAAATCAAATAAATGGTTTTTAAGATATTAAAATGCGTATACTTTTATACACTATCCTATTTTTGCTGTTACAAAAATATAAAATTAATATGTTTTTATCTACAGTATTTATTTATTATTAATATTATTATACTCGGACAATTTATACAAATTAAAACATTTTGATTAATATTAATTAATCTAATTTTAATATAATTAAAGCTTTCAAATTTTCCATGCATATGTTCTTATAGTTATATAGTACTTGTACATAAAAACTACTCGTTCAAATTTAAATTTAGGTATACCAATATTTTCATAAAATTCATCTACTCGACTATTCGAGAAACGGAAATTCAGATTTGAAGAAAAATATAGCTGATATCACGAAGAGTATTTGGATACTCCTTAAATATCATAAAAGAATCTAAATATTTAAAAATATGGTTTTTTAGTATGCTTAAAAATTTCAAAAGTTAGAATTTAAATGAGTTTATTATTCAAGGAAAAACGGAGTTGAACATGTTAGATGAATCATCGTGAATACCTTT